TTTTTTTGAGTGAGTCACAACACGAGGTTTCATAATAGGCTGATTTTCCAGAACAAAATTTTTAAATCCGCTTGGATTTTGAGCGGATTTCAAGCACAAAGAGAATAATTTTGCTATTGTTATCACGTTTCTGCTTTATCAGCTTTGTATCAGCTTCGAATGCGAACAAAGAAATAAAAAAAAATGGTGTTATTTTCAAATTGCCCCCACATGAGAATATTCAATTTCAGAGAGAATATAATAGATTGACAGCGGGTGTCAGTTAGAATCCACGCTGCATTATTCATTCTCATTGACTGGAGGACATGTACTATAAAGAAAGGACACTCGTGAAATAGAACAAAGCCCATTTCAATATTCATGTTACACGGATTGGTACAGAGACAAGAGGACAAAAACTGGGAAATGGAGCAGAAGGAGAGAAAAAAAAATGTAGTATGGGAATATTCCAAAAAATAAAGTGCATTTCTCTTGATCTTTTGTTCTTAACTGATTCATTAATCGTTTTGTTTTGTTTGAGAGACTGTTAAAATAAGTCCAGGATTAGAAAAACAAAACAACGATTTCTAAACTGAACGAAACACCCACCAAAATCGTCTTTCGTTTGGCAACACGCAGGATAATCATATTTTGGACCGGAAAAAAAGAGAAAAAACTGGAAAGAGAGAGAGAATAAAACAAGAAAATTGATTGTATTATGTTCCCATCCACTAAACTCAATTAGCATTGTGCACTTGGAATTGGCGGTTGGTGTCTTAAATATTTTTTTGAGAATGTTCAATTTCAAAAAACGTGAGTTTCTAACGTTTTTGAGACCGGGAACTTCTTGGTCTTCTCACGAAAAAGTTCATTGAATCAAATCTACCGTTTGCGTAGGTTCATTTTTCATTATGGGAAAACGTTTTTTGCAGAAATGCGCGGAGCAAAAAGAAAAGAGAAACATGTTGAAAGGAAGTTTAGTTCAATGAGGTCAGCGAGAGAAACAATAGAAAGGTAATTTGAGAAGTGACAAAAAAGAAAAAAAGCAATCAAAAACATACATTATTTGTGTCCCATAAGGAACAAAAAATTTCTGAGTGAACAAATATTCTCATTCTATGAAATGCACATTTTTATGACGTGAATTCCAATTCGTTGAGTTGATGAGATGTCTATACCGAATGAACAAAATATTAATAATCTTCTTGCCGATCGAAAAAAAGAACCAAACCACGGAAATATGCTCGTCTGTATATTTTTTGTTTTTGTGATTAGTTTTTTTTCTTATCTCTGTTTTGTCTGTTTTGTCTGCCTTTGTTTTTCCTTCGCCACTGACACTGAATAAAAACGAAACAGTAACACAAGAAAAAATACTCGTGCGAGATATGTGAGCTTCAAAAAAAGGAAGTTCACCCTATGATCAAAAGATCTTTGAATACAACAAGCTAATTATCCAGACTGACCACTTGAAGGTGGATTAACACCTGTGTTTTTCATAATGACTCGGACAAATTGGCGGAAAAAAAAATTTTTTTTTTCCCGGCGGAAAAAGAACATAATCGAGTCCGAATTTTCAGAGCGTGTAGAGTCTGTGACAAAGAACCAGGACATGGGAGGTAGCTGTTTTCTTCGAAAATTCCAAACTTTTTGTGTTGAAAAGAATAACAATGTTAATGGTAAATAATTTGTTTGAATTTTTTGAAGCATGGTGTTCACTTGTTTACTTGTGAACAGAAAAAGCAACAGAAATTGAACATCATGTGAGAATTTTGTTCAAATCTGAAAATTATTATTACCTTGAATCGTTTAAAGGAGTGCATGTTGACTTTGAAAATTATAGTGATGATAATGAGCGTTCTGAGCATTGGTCAGATGAATTTTTTTTAACGTATAAACGATTTGCTTTTTTCTTGTTGCCGTTTTCATTTTGCTCTGATCACTGATAATGCATACAAAGGTGTTTTTTGCAATTGTCTCAATTAAAGCACGTTCCCGTTTCCCGGCAGACAAGAGATGTCAGGTGCAAAAAAAGGTAAAAATACTTGAAATTAACACGTTGTCGAATTGAATCTGTTTAACATTGTATGATTTTTATTCCATTTTTTTCTGTTTTTGTGTTATTTGATCATTCTAATTTTCGGATGTGACAAATGTCTATGTGTCGAAGGTGGTTGGTTTCTAGACTTTTCAGATTTGTCTGAAAGTGTGGTTTTGAATTAGATAACATGCACTTATGAATTCTGAGTAGGTGTGAACAATAATTCAAAAGCTACTGATTTCCACGAAGACATCATAAAAATCATAAAAATACTTATGGTAGATCCTTGCCGAGCCGGGTAGCTGATTTTTGGCAACTGACAAATAAAAATTAATCAAAATCAGATAATTCAAATTTGAATTTCTATCTACAGAAGATTTGATACGACACTATGCACTTATGATAATTCCAGACATTGCAATGATGATAGAAGTAACAATTAAAAAATTTTTTCACATTTTCAAAAAATTTAACTGATAAAAATTTACGAATGAGATAAAACGCTTGAAAATGTATGAACAAGAACAAATATACTCGAATTTTAAGGTTGATGAATTTCAAAAATACTATCGGACATGGCCTCAGTGGAATTTTCATTGTCAATGAACTCGATAAAATACAAAACATCAAAATCTTTAGACGTCTTCTAATCGTTGAATTTACAAAAACATTTCACTTTCACTCTTTATCTACAATCCTGTTTTTTACCTGGAATAAATGTTTTTCAACTCAATACAAAATTCTTGAACTGATAGTTTCGATTTGTATCTATTTGATACTTTTTTTCAGCCAGTGACTCTGATTTCATAGAAATCTAGACTTCATTTTCAAGAATGCTCGCTTTTTATAGAATATCCCTCATTCTTAAGAAAACAGCTGCTGAATTTCTTGTAACTGTTATGACAAAGTAAATGCAAGTGTTTATCGTTTTGTTTGTTTATGTTTGTTTTCAGAAAAACCATCTAGTTTCTTGCTTCTCATCTATTTCTGTCCCTCGTCAAAAAAAAATCCAGCAAATACAACAACGGATGCGCGACACAACGGAGACGGGTAGCAAGCAGCAACCACCATTTGGCGTTGGTTGTGAAGAATCGAAACCATTTTATTATCCGCGTGTATCTTGCTGATGAGAGGCATTCAACAGCACGCCATCGCGTTTCCGATTTGACGATGTTGGAAAATGGAGTAGAGCTTTATGCTCCAACACTGGGACAACGACGACGACATCCTTCTGCACATCGTCTTCTCCTTTCCTCGGGTTCCCCTCTCTTCTTCAACTCGTTTTTGTCACTAACATCATTTTGCTATCTTGCCGACGACACGACGACTTGTCCGAAATATCTTTCCCCAATCGAATATTTTTTTCGTTCTGTGGCTTACTCTTGGGTGCATGTCAGGATGGTGATCTGGAAGTGGTCCGCGCAAAAAATAGACGCAAACTTTGAAATGATGAATCGTTTCTGTTGGTTGTGAGTTATGATTGAGTTTGTTGTTTCTGTTTTTTTTCCAAAGGAATGTGAAGACGTAAAAAACAGAAGTGTCATAAAATTTGTATACAGCTAGTACAAAAGGATTTTGGAATCGTAAGAGTTGTTTAATTTCGAATTAAGTCTCATAGAATATTTTGGCATTATTTTTACCTGTATAATAGTTTTATGAAGCTGAATTGTAATTCTGCAAACTTGAAGCTTTTATTCATGTTCTACTCAACTTTAGGTCTAGAACTTTTGTCAATAGCTCAAAAAACTGAGTGAAAATTGAATATCCCAAAGTACTGACAACATTAAAATCTAGTTTTGTTAGAAAAAAATCTGTGGCACACTTGTTTTGTCTCCCATTTTTCTAAAATGAGGAATGCTTTCCATATGCAACTTTTGTGAGATAGTTGCACCACAGCGTCCGTACACACATCCTCCTCCTTCTCATGGATGTCTCCATCCTATAAGCTCTTCTCAGTCTCGTCGTCGTCCCGAGGGCTGGCCCCACGGGACGAGCCGAACCCGCCGGTTTTCCGCTTCCGCCGGCCCATCACACCGCCCGTTGATGTCTCGTACAACCATCCTAGGGCAAAATATGAAACAGAGTTAGAAACCGAGAAAGAAGGCTAGGCTTGCTCCAGCACCAATCACGCTCTCTCCAGCCCTGGGGCCTCTCTATCCCTGTGTCCAGGGCCTTCGCTATTCGACGCATGCCGCCAAAAACATGACGCAGAAAAAATGTTTCGACTGGAAGTGGAGAGAAAAAACAGGAGACGTGTTTGATCTCGGGTCCTGGGACACCCCATCACCCGTTTTTTCTATCGGTCATGACCTCCCAGTCAACTTTGTGTTATTTTTTTTCTGAAATTTGCAAAAGTCGTCCAACTGACCAATGATTCTTTACAAGTCTTTGTACGCAAAGTTTTAGTTGTTGCTGAAAAAGAAAGATGGGAACCCAAAATGCTTATATCACAATAAGTATCATGTTTGCTTGTTTTCTACTAAATGCTTCAAACTTTCTTCGTCACCAGTTAAGTTCATTCTGATTTTGAAAAATTTTGTAGTGTTTTCTTCATAAAACATTTCATATTTTTCCAGACAATTTTTCTTTTTTCAATTAAACTACAAACCATGTTTGTGCAGTTCTTCTTTTAATTTATTGCTGATGTTTTTTCTAATAATTTTCCTTGGTGCTTGTCGTTTTTTCTAAATTCCTATCCAATGGAAAACCGAAAACCCTCTATTTGAAGCCCGTTCTTCGATAGAAATTCACCCTGAGAAGGAGGTTGAAAAATAAAAGCCCATATACCTCTACTAAAGGAAATACGGTATGATAAAAAACTTTCTAACAAAGTCTATGTTGTTTTTTGACCTTTTCGCCATATTTCCATATTCTGCCGTATTTTTTCGTGTAAACTGGCGTTTTTAACTTTCTTCTACTTACAGATAGTTCATGTATTTGCTGCAGAGTAGTTGATATGTAGGATAGTTGACCTTATCTGGAAATGCGTTGGATTTTATCACCGTTCATTCTATGGTGGCACTCACACTTAGCCACTACCACACGACACATCTCCCCATTCGAACTAACTGTCAATTCCGGGGCCATTCGGGGCGAACGATTGGTACGTTTTACTGATGTGTACTAACTGTTTCTAAAACATTACTTTTCAGTTGATAGATGGTCAAGATTATACAGTTTTTAAAGGAATACCCTTCGCCATGCCACCTGTGGGCTATCTCAGGTTTCAGGGAAGTGTTCAAAACTGATGAATTTTCAGAAAACGGAAACAATTTCAGATGCCAAAAGAACCAGCGAAATGGCGAGGGGTGATGAATGCAACACAATACAGGTGAGCTCTATGGGGAACATTCTAGAGTAGGCTGACAAAACAACTGATAAAAGAGGAAACAACAGTGACCGAAGTGAGCATAATAAGCTTCAGACATGCTAATTCTATTGACATTCCCACTAATGAGTTTGTGAGAATTGGTCGGAAGTAATGACGGTGAGGAAGAAAAAGTTTGATATATATTTGGATGTCTGGCGGGGAAATTTTCAGTTTTTTTCTGAAACCAGAGATGGGAGAGCCAAGGAACAACTCTCAATTATGTCAGGGGAACGTCACCTTCTTTTAAAAAAAATGTCGAATAATCAATGAAATAAATTTTTCTTCTAGAAAAAATGTTTTTTCCAGTGCAATGTGTATGCAAAACATAGACGAAAACGACGCAGGAGAACCCGAACGATACGTTGCTCATGTTTCCGAAGACTGTCTCTATCTAAATGTCTTTTCGCCGACTCCGGTAACTTCCCATTTTGTTGTTGTTGTTTATCATATCCCATTTACAGTACCAGTACACAAATGACACATATCCGGTGATTGTTTTCATCCATGGCGGCAGATTCCAAACTGGTTCCGGAAGCGACATTCCTCAGCGGGCAATTCTCAGCAACTTTGTGTCACGCAAGGCAAGTGCTCCACTACTCACTCCTCACACTTATATTTTCTTCTGTGCCACTAGACGATGACTCTCGCGTTTTTGCCCCCACACACACATACACCATGTCTCCATGCACATCCTTGTTTTGTTTTCTTTTTCTCTCTTTGTCTCTCACTCACTCATCCCGTTGTGCTGGGATATGTGTCTCCTTCTGTGGTTGGTCTTGTTGCTTTATCCCTACGCAGAAAGTTTGATGGAATAATTTATGAGGCATCAAATTGAGAGCATTTTGGTATAAATTCAACATGATTGTGGCCAAAAAAAAACGAGAAAGAAAAAAAAGAGAGGAAAGGAACATCTTCGTTTTGCATCAGTTCAGATGTGCTTTTTTCGTTCTGCTTCGATCATCTTTTTGTGCAAAAAGAAAGATGGATAGCATAAAATGCGATTCTGCTGTTGCAAATGGAGTGAAAAGATAAAGAAGCTCAGGAAACAGACAAAAATGTAGAATAGCGAATAGAACAAGCATTGCTAATTTTGCATTGACGACATTGAATATCCGCTTCGCACTTTTCCTCGTATCTTCGTATCTACTTGAATCTTTTGCACTGATTGCACATAGACCGAATTAGGCTCTGTTGTGAACTTTTCGCTCTAACGGACTTGATTTTGAAATGGAGACAAGAAAAATGTTGAGGGAGAAATGATGTGTGCAAAGTGTGTAGATGAAAGAAATGAATACAAAATACGAAAATTTTCAGATTGTTTTCGTCACATTCAACTATCGATTAGGACCATTAGGATTCGCATCAACGGGTGATAGCGTGTTACCAGGAAATATAGGATTATGGGATCAAATTTGGGCTCTCAAATGGGTAAAAGCAAATGCCGAAGTATTTGGAGGAGATCCCTCAAATATTCTTTTGATGGGCCATGGAACTGGAGCAGCTTCTGCATCACTGCTAGCGTTGTCACCAAGAGCGGAAGGTACTTGGAGTTTTGAAGCGAGTCTCAAACAATAATTCCATAAATGTTTTTTAGGTCTATTCCAAAAAGTTTTATTGATGTCCGGCTCTGCTCTCCAGCCAGGAGTCGTTCGTAACACACAAGTCAATGCCACGTGGAATATGAACGACCGGTTTGGTTGCAGGTTAGACTTGATTCATGTGTACTGTTACTAAAGGTTCGTTTTCAGAGCATTCAACTCATCAGAGCTACTTGATTGTGCTAGGAAGCGATCGAAAGAAGAAATCTTTCAATACAAAGTAACTCATCTTTAGTGGAGAGTCGTAGTCATAAAAAACTGTTTTTCAGCGTCTTCATTACGATGATTATGAAGAGTTCGTGCCAATTATCGATGGTGTCGGAGGTGTGCTACCTGAGCCACCGGAACAGTTGACACTACATCGAAGGAAGACTCCGATTGTAATTGGAACTACAAAAGATGAAAGTTCATTGAGGATATGTATGTTTTGAAAATCCACTGATCTTTAAAATTCGAATATTTTCAGTACTCCTCAACGAAAAAGAGCTCAATTTTTCTTCCATCACATGGGAGCATGGAGAAAAGTTGGCAGAAAACCTGACGATGAGTTATAAGCAGTTTCAAAACCATCGTTTGATATCACAAGGCTGCAAGTCAGAATATGTATGGACTCAAGTGGATCCATCGTTTCCTGAATCTGTCTTGTTCAATTCTCTATTAAAAGTGAGTTTTTACCAGCGGGTTTCACAGTATTCATGATAATTTCTTCCAGATGTATTCCCACTTCTGGTACGACGCCCCTGCATCTCAATTAGCCACATACTACCTCAAACACGATTTACCGGTTTATCTATATTCTTTCGATCACATCAGTGAAAATTTTTATGATATTGATAGTAAGCAAACCTCTCTGATGTTTCTCAAAAGTCGAAATATTTTATTTCAGGAGCTTTTCATGGCGTTGACAAACTACACATATTCAACGTCACACCTAGGTTTTTGAATAAACGAAAAGATATGAACTGGCAACTGGATCAGCGAGTTGTTGAGATTTTCTCCGAGTTGGTCGCCAACTTTGCACTTTATGGGTATGAAGATTTTCGGATCAATTCTCTATAAAAGCTTAACGTATTTAGCACGCCTACACACGAAAACGATGGATTCAGTTTCAATTGGACGACAACGACGGCAAAAGAGTTGAGCTATCTCTCGATCACTGATAGTCCAAGCATGCAGGTAGGAATATTTATGATAGGCTAAATAACACTTGCTGATTGCAGGTTGGGTATCGGTGGCAGGGTCACGTGTTCTGGAATTGGTACGCCAGGTCGCTGGACGCTGTCGATGTAGGGAACATACAAAGGATTGCTCAACTTGACCGAGATGTGGGCAACTGGCAGGTACGGTACTTGAAAAAATGGATATTATAGAGGAGTTATAAACATCAAACGTTATAGCTTCTCTAATAAATGGTCATCATGTACTTGCACTTTGAGCTCAATTACCTCAATCTCTGTAAGCGATAACAAAGTTCTTAAACACATAAAATGTTCGTCAAAGCATTACCAACAATTTACCAGTTGATACATTTTTGATATCTCTTATAGAAGTTTAAATAATTGGGCTCAAAGTACAAGTATAGGGTTGTTTCTTATGTGAACATTTACTGTTAGAATATACGCATTTTTTGTGTAGATACCGTAAAATACCTGTCAATTACCTGAAATACCTGTCAAAAACATATACATCAGTTGATTTCTAACATTTTAAGGAATATGGAGCTCGGATGTCGAGTTTTCGTTCACTTGGAAAACATTGGAGCGTATACAACAGACCTAAATTGAAAAAAGCTTTCATGAAAATTTTCGAAAATTCCTAGTTTTTTAAAAGCTATTTACCGATTTTTGAAGGACACCCCTTTTGACTTTTTTGTACTGCCAAAATGAAAGAAAGCTCGTGCCATTTAAAAATCAGCAAGAAGCTCAAAAAAATAGGATTTTTCTAAAAATCCTGTGAATTCAAAGTGTTCATGCCAGGACTGTTTTATAACCTTCAAAAATTTCAAAGTGATTGGACACTTGACAGCCGAGTTCCAAACTCCTGACAATGGTCAAAATGACCAATAATCAAAAAAGTTTTTTAGAAATTCGAATTACTTGTTAGCAATTTATGTTTCTTTACAGACAACCCGAAATTTTTAATATCCAACATTTTGCAGGATTAATCTAGATACAAAAAAACAGCTTTAATGCCAGAAAACCTGTATTAAATAGGCCCTTTTGATAGAAAAGCTGACCGAGAGAAGCTCGGAAAACTTGAATAGCCCTCCGGAGGTGCCTTGGAATAATAGGAAGGGCGGCCCTTCTAATATGGGTTTTACGGTATTCACGGCTTATATTTCTAATCATTCATATTTCTTCAAAAAGTTCGAAACGTAATAATTTACAGTTCGCCACCGCCATGCTCTCATTTTGCTCACTTTTCTTCTTCGCCATCCTTGTCGGTCTAGCGTGCTACTGTACACGAAAAGAATCCGACGAAGACGAACTATAAACATTTTTCTAAAAGTTTTCAAATCTGGTTGATTTTTATTTGATGCTCTATTTTCTTCATTTTTTTCGTTAACTCAAGAATCGTTTCCTCTCATATCCATTGACTATTTTGCGCCCCAATCCTATGAGTCGATTCATTGTGACTTTTCTGTAGTTGTTACCCATTCTAATCTTTCATCGTTATTGCGAAATGCCCACCAAATTCTTTCTGAAATTTCCATTCTGGAGCTCAATTATATTCATTTCTCTCGAATATCCTCTCTTTTTTATTAATTGTCATTATAGCTGCTCGGTAATCAAAATTACGTTTTTTTTCTTTTTCATCTCTGATGATCTAGACTCAACTTTTTTCTCTCATCCCTTTGATATACATAAGTTTGCGGTGCGCGATTTCTAATCCTCTCTCACTTTCTCATTCTTTGTTTCTCTTCAGATGTGTTATACATATTTTTGAGGCTCAATAAAGTGAGTAATTGAAAAAAAAGAAGTTTCAAGATCCAGTAAAAATGTCTAATTTCTCAATAACGTGACTTTTTTTTGATACATGTTTTCCTTGTTTGCCTATAGCTTATGGTATGGACTGGAATACTAAAAAGATACTGGAAGTTGGTTCAAAGGGTTTGAACTCCAGGAAAAATGAATTGTGTTTAGTATGAACATTAGTTTTCGGAAAACACTAAAAATGACAAAAAACAAATCATCTTCAGAATATTGAACAGGTTCAATTTGTTTTTCTTTGGAATACAGAAATAGACGGGATTACAGAATTCGTGGGTTTTCAGAAAGCCAACTATACTCGTGTTCTGAACAAATTAATTGAATCAGTGCCCACTTTACGTTTGTTGTATGATTTTTTTTTGAAAAATTATCACGTATTTGAATAATCATATCTGGGTACGTATTTTTGCGAAACTTCAGATTTGTCATATTTCGTAACCTGAACGCAATTACTCCCATAAAAGTTTGATTTTCAGCTGGGTCATTGTTACCATTTTGTATAATCAAATTTTCAAGGTTACCTGTAAAACAGAATTTTCAAAAATGAATTAATTGTAAATGTTAAAGAAAAAGATAGTATAGAAGAACAACTACTAAAACGATTTAAACTAATTTTTTAAAAGCTGAAATTTTCCAAACGACAACAAACCCCTCGAAAAGTCTAAAGAATAGCAAAAACTCAGCAAAAACTTGGGAAAGGAACCAATCTGGCTGAAACTTCGGAGAGAAAAAACCTATAAGACTTACTACGGGCGGGGCAAAAGTTTGGTAACCAAAAGAAGACAGGTGTTCTTCGGGCAAATTATCCCATTCCGCCGGGAAAATAGTTCAGACAGATCCCAAAATCCTGTGAAAACAAGCATGAACACCTGTTTTAAAAGTTTCCTGCACGGAAATCGCTATTAGATTTTGATGTGACTCAAAACAGGCCATCCTTTTTTGAGGATCAAGTTGGAAAATCTGGTTTTGACACTTTCTGCTGGACACGTTTTTCCGTGTGAGCAGGTTCTACATCTTTTTGAATAGTTCAATTTTTCGAGCTTTATGGCACGATGACTTCGACATCATTATTTTCTCTAGAAGTAGTATTCCTGCCCCACTGGCCTGCTCACAAGGATCCAAAAACAGGAAAAAAACCAAAAAAAGTGTACAGAAAGTAGTGCCGTCCTCCTAAAAATTAAAATATGAACATAAAACTTTGTAAATCTACTAATAAAGAGTTGAGGGAAAATATGAAAATAAAATCAAAACATGAAAAGTGCGTCAGCGTGCGCCAGTTTGCGTCAAAATTTGGTTACCAAACTCGATTTTCACCTGAAGTTGCAGACAGATTGGTTCATTCTCCGAGATTTTTGATTCTTTCCATGTTTTGCCGGGTTGTTTGCCTCACCGGAATAATCACATTAAAAAACCGTAAAAAGCAGTTATTGCGATCATTTCAGTGACCTAAAAAATAAGCTGAAATTAAGAAATTTAAATTTTCAGGTTATTGCTTTTTCCCGGTTGAAGTTCCATTTAATTTTTCCCAATAAAAATGTATTCCTCCTGTGATAAAAATTTCTGGCTGGCTTTGAGATTACCCCGTTTTTTGGTTTGTTTTATCTTTTTGTTTTCTTCAAAAGTTGTCTCCATTTCCAAAAAAAGCAATGATCAACAGAAATTCACTTTATTAGGAATCGTATCTAAGCGTCGTCCAACCATTTGTTTTTTGAAAAGAATAAAGACATTCAGAAAGAGAACAGCTGTTTTGGAAAAGAGCGTGAAAATAAGTATTGTTTAAGCTGACGAGAAAGAAGAACCAATCCATCCTGACCGTTATTTTCCGAAACGGAGCGAGAGCATGTCCGGTGAGAAAGCCAACGGCTCTCCGGCACCTGCACGTTTTCCGAAGCGGAGTGTCAAATCGTCGGCATTGAACTCGCGCTTGTATGGCTTAGATTCATAGTAGTTGCGCTTGGCAAGCCCGCTGTTGAAGTCTTCTTGGGAACCGAAGAACTGGAAAAACTATTTGATTGGTAATCGGTGTTTAACTAAACGTCAGTATAAATTGAATCAAATGTGACTACTCGAAACACGTCATAGTACCTGGAATGGAAGTCTGAACGCGCTGACAGCGGCGATCGAGCCGAGAAGAATGGCGATAAGAAGAACGGCCTTCATAGTGAGAGCTAAAAGAGTTCTTTTGTTGTGTTACCTGAAAATCGTATAAGTGTTTAATGTGGAAACTGAAGGCAAACGTTCAATTAATGAGAATGAAAATGCCGAAGTTTTAGCAAAACTATAGTAAGGATTATCAAAAAGGAACGAAAGTCTTGGCCCAAATTCAAAAATATAAGGCTTCCCTGAAGAGGAACTTTCAGAAATAGTGTTACAATTTAAACTATATCCTTTTGATCCTACTAAGTCTACTTCCTGGATATTATCATTTGGGAAAAAAGACACAAAAAAGATGGATCGCCTAGAATGAAGATCTTAGTTTGAGTCTTCTTCAGACTAGAGACTTTTGTCCTTTATTATCCAAGAGAGGATAATTAAAACACTGGTGGATATGTGTCTGTTAACTCTTTCACTCAGAAATGAGGAAAAAGTAGCACTTTTTACTTTTTGTTCTGAGGCAAAAGGGAGAAAAATTGAAATGAGAGGGTTAAGTGGTGGCAAACGTCAGTTCGATTCTATTTTTCACCCTCCTCAGATGCACCCACCCAGCAGAAGAAATGAAGTGAGAGGTTAATCTCAATTAAGTTGTTCCTCTTTTCCTACTGATTAGGTGTTCAGTTCAAATGAGTAAAATATTGGAAAATAAGAGATGAAGAGGAATTCTTTCACCATCTATTGTTTCTCGGAAAGAATTTCAATGAAGCAGCTTAGAAATCGACATGAGAGGCCTGAAGAGGAGTGAAGAGAGAAATGAGGAGATGACGAGGAAATTAGCAGTTTGTACGAAATAAAATTGGAAGAAGTAGGTGGAGCATACCAACCGATACTGACAAGCCCCGCCCACTAACTTGATCCCGTTTTGGCACCCGGAAATGAGAAAAGTGGTGTGCGTACTACTGGAGGTCCATAAAATTGACGAACAAAAGGTGATGCCTCCTATCTGCACAAGAATGACGTTAAGGTGCTCAAAAAATTTTATATTGGTTTTGTTCTGGAACGATCGTGACTGGTTTTTATAGCTCTCGGTCATCTTAATTGCAGAAATTATCACTGTTATGGAAAAGACACAACTGAAAATTTTCTTAAATCACTTCCAGATGCTAGATCATTGAATTAGTCAGACATGATATCATTGGTGTAACTTCTTTGTTTCATAGAACTCAGAAGATGAATGGATTCAAAATATATTTGAAAATCAGTGAGGAAACACTGTAAAACCTGTATTAGAAGGGCCGGTCCTTCTGTTTTTTTCAATTTTTTTTCATCAAAAATTTCGACGAATTCTTGTTTAAAATTCATTAAAATCTCTCAATTTCACTGAAATTGAAATAGTTTTCGAGCCTAAAAGTGTTTCGACAAGTTTCTGTGAAGTTGTGGAATTTGGAATTCCCAAAAATGTGGAATTCCAAAACATTTTCCACTGGAAACGTACGGAGAATGTTACTTTCAAACAATGAATTTTCAAGGGGCTCTTTTCTGTTACAGAGGCGTTTCTATTTTTCCAAGCGGAGGGCTGTTCTGTTACAAGAACCGTTTTTATACAGGTTTTACGTTATGATTTCCGAAAAAAAATGTTTCAATTTTTATTTGTTTATCGGCTGACAATAAAAACGATTCAGAATATTCTGGAAAAAATCCTCCAGGAAAAAAAGTGACTGATGTAAAATGAGCTTTTCAGTAATTTCTAACCAACCTCTGAAACTCTCAAAAAAAACTCCCAATATTAGTAAAACGGTTCAAACAGTGGAGCGAACCTTGTCAATCACATTGCTCAAACGACTTCTCAAAAAAGCTTCAGTATAGTTAAGTTTAAGGGCCAATAGGAAGGAATTTATTACTTCCTATTTTTTGTGGTCTTTAAGGAGCTGCAAAACTCAAATCTCGATTGTTTACACTTCCTACAAAACCAAAAAAAAAAAATATTTTTGAATTTTTGTCCGCTTGCCAGGTTATGAATCTTGAAGAAAAGTTTATCGTTATAAAAGTTAGTGAATAATATTTGTGAAAATTAAGCGCGGATCAACAAAAATAATGAGTTGGAAGTGACGTGGGCCTTGTTTAAAAACTTGATTCTTATTCACGAGGTGAATTTCAAGAGAAAACTCCTTTCGAAAAACTACCCACTTGTTTTATAGAAAGTTTTTCTAGAAGTAGTAGTACTAAAATGTAACAAAATGATGTAGCGTGAATTGAGGAATTGTGCGTTTCCCACACCACTTTGATGAGCTTTAATTGTAAGCCGAGATGTTGAATATTGAATTACCTGTTTTCTTAGTACAAATGCAATTCATTTATTTTAACCGCCTCCACTCTATTAGTTCAAATTTCTCTTTTCATTTATTAGAGCTAAATTTTTTCGCTGTAAAAAAAATACGTGGATCGAGTTATGAACGGACACAGAAAATAGAATCTACAAAAATTAAACAATATTTTCTGAAGCAAATTTTGAAAATTGAATTGCTGATTGTATGGTGTTCAAGTCTCAAGTCGTATTTTCTGCTCGTACAGACTTGTGTTTTATGTTTGCAAAAATATTCAAAATTCAATAACTTGATTTTTTCAAAACGGTTTTATGGCTTTACACAAATGCAATAGTTTTTAAAAGCAAATTTACAAGCTAAGAGATCGTTTCTAGACAATCATGGCCACATAAACAGCAAAGACGGTGGAGAAGATTGAAGCGACTTCAGCAGACGAACAAATCATGGCTCGATCAAGTTTGCTTGGTCTGTATTGGATGCGACGACCGTTCAATGGCTGGAGAGGGCGGTAGTTCTTGTCGGACTTGACGAGCTCCTTGTTATGCAATTGACGGAGGAGGTGAAGCTGAAATAGCAAGTTAGTTGTCATAAAATATTTATTCCTGAGAAATTATCAAGAGTGCCAAATACAAAACTCAAGAAGAGCCTCATTCAACCGGAATGAAGTGAGCATTAACAATATATACCCCTTTCCCTCATTTCTCACCTGATGACTCGAAATCGCCATGGGCTCGGCGAGCACCGTCCAGATAACAGCCTCACTACAATCCGGGGTAGTGAGACTTCCTTCGTAACGATAGAACGCTTCCGTGTCCAATGGAAGAACATATTTTGTGCGGAAGTTCTTGAGTTCAGTGACGTTTCCGGAATGTCTCAAGTCATGTAGACGCTCGGATATTGGCGAGAAGTTGTTGGCTACTGGGTCGTTGGTTTTTGCAAGGAATACACCAACTACGGCCAATCCATCAGGACGAGTAAGAGCTTCGTGGAGGGTCAAACCTTCGCGGACATGGACCAAGTGAAGCTGTAATTGAATTCATAAATTTATGTGTTGCACAGGCACAGATGTCGGATTTTGTGAATTTTTGTTTTCAAAATATTTAGGTCGAAATTTGGAAAAAAACCACAATATTACAAAAATCTCTCGTGTTCGTGTACAGCCAATTTCCTGAAGTCATATGGATATACCAAAGACAAAAATTAATTTGCATTCTTATCAATCCTTTAAAGTTTCTTTCACCAACCTCAGCTGGATAATGCAAAGATCCCAAAGCGTGTTCCGATCCCACAGCATCATTCTGTCCCCAATGAAGATGAAATTGCACCAACTTGTATCTGTGCTTCAGCCCTCCACCCTGAATCATCGGTTGCCGATGCTGCCAATGCTCGAAACCTCCGGCAAACACTGAATAATACGATGATCAATCATCATTGTTTTTGTTCCTTTCGCTGGGAAAAGAAACTAGAAAAAATGAAACTCACATGTTCTTCCTGTGTTACTCAACTCAATTTTCCCATCCATATCATAGTTCATGAAGTGCATACGGTGAAGAAGGGCATAGTCAACATCGGGTGCACGAATATCAATTGGCGACTGAAAATAGAATAGAGAACATGTTTGTGACTGTTTGCAATTTTTCTCTATCTATTCATGATCAAATGGAAAATAGCCAGTAGAAACTGATCACTGGAAAACGGTGACGGTTACGTATTCACTTCAATGGCTTTTTGTTTACAGTTCCAGGATTACTGTAGAGCGCATATTTTTTAAAGTTTGAGCTTGTAAAAAATATTTTTGACATTCTCGAATTACAGTCAACAACATATTCCTCAGTTAATTTTTACCGTTTTTGAACATTTTCAGGAGTCTAAAGCTTGACTGTCAAGATTTCGATCACTTTAAAATTTTGGAGACTGCACAACAAGCCTAGATTGAAAAATTTGCATTCACAGAACTTTTTCTTGAAAATTCCTAGTTTCTCAGCTATTTCTGATTTTCAAAAAAAATCCTTTTTAGTCTGTTATTGTACTGAAAACGTGAAAAAGATAATTACTCTCAAAGAACTTACTCTCAAAGATGTTAAAACTTACTCTCAAAGATGTTAAAAATAATCGGAAACTTAATTTCCGAGCTTCAGACTTCTGAAAACAATCTCGAAAACCAACTGGAAAATACGTTTTTGTATATTTTTTTTGACCGATGATGATTCCCTGATATAGGATTACTGTAGCATGTTTGTAATGGTAACCGTCGAAAATGTTTTTAAAAAATCCAAGGCAATCTTAGCTACAGTAATCCTTTTTACTTTTGTATATTTCTTCCATTAAACATATTTTTTACGCCTCTACTAAAACTATATTTCATTTCAAAAACACACAAAAAAGATAACAATCTGACAAGTGTTCTCATCAAAGAAAACCCGCTTAATTTTGTGATTGATGGGTTTTCTCCTACCACCTGAACACATTTTTCTCGTTTTTTTTCTTTTTCCAAGATACATTTTGTGACATTTTGATTGATCTGTGCTTCACTCATCGTTCTCACAAAATCAAAAATTCAAAAAATCTAACCTGCTTCAAGTGATTCTGACACTTTCCTTGCCAAGTCTCCGGCCCATTCTCAACGTCGTATCCCCATCCTTGGTCAGCTCCAGGACCGCATTGAACAACTGAAAAACACTACAAGTGCATTTTTTAAGTGGATGTGTTGTGCTCTTTGTGTAATCCCTTTGGTGCTAGACAAGTATTTATTGAATTCCATCAAACTAGACGACCTACCTGCAAGCAGTGTCAGGAGCAAAGATAAAATCAACAGATGCGACGATGGCATGGAAGCAGGTGGCGTTGGGTGTTCCAAGTTTTTTTTTGTCAAGTATGAAGAGGAAGAACTTGGCCTCCTATAAAATAAATGATGCAAGAAAAAATGGGTAGAGTGAAAAAAAATGTAAGAAAAAAAAGGCGAGGTCAGACGAAGACGGAATTCAAATCTTTGAAGTCTCTGAAAAAAGCTACATCAACAAGAAAAAAAATAGAAATCCAATTTGATTTTGTCGCCGATTTTTCGAATATCAAATTTAAAGATGGCAACAATAAAGAATCTCTTATTGTGGTTAGAAAGAAGCGGAAAGGAAAATTGGGTCTATACATCTTGAGAGGAGGACCCTTTGCTTCTTCTTTTTTCTTAGGACGACCTCTAAAAGAAGGAAAGGATAAGATCATGTTCATTGAAATTTGAGAATCGACAAGAACAAATGCTTTCTTGTCGCTAATTTTTCTAATGAGGGTCATGACGTAGATCTTTGATTTTGCATAGATGAAAAACGGGAGAAACTTATACCGAAGTACGTAAAAGGTGATAAACTATCTTATAAACTATACTGATAAGAACTCGAGAATTATTGACGGTTTGAGTTACGACCGTTCTTTGCAAAACGAGTTTCAAACATTTTTTGCGATAGCTTCCTCCATTTTATAGAGTCAGAATGAATTGTGAAAAGTGATCTGTGTAGTATGAGTTTGAAACTTTTTTGTCGGAAATTGAAAGGGGAGGGTCTATATTCTACTGTATCTTCTCTTGAAACCGCAGTTCCGGAACACCTATTTTGTTTGAAGCAGTGAGAAAAATTCGGGAATTATTTATTAGGTAATTCAATTCATTAATGTGTCTCGTTTCAATTGAAGACGCAACTTTTAATTTGATGGGGTGAAAAATGGATAAATGTGATAGGAGAAGGTGGCATCAAGAAGATAAGAAATCGAGAACAAAGTTTTGAGAGATATTGTCAGTTGTGTGATTGTAAAAGCATCCATTCATCAACCATCAGTATTCTCGAAACCCGCCTAACGAACTCGAAGATCAGTGACGGAGTGTGGAGCAGCATAGGAATGTCAAGAATATCGGTGGATGATATGAATTTTTACAATTTTACACATCCCCCTAGTTCAGTTTTGAAACGTCTTGTGACGTGTATCTCTTCCTGATCTTTGGAATAGTTTGAAAACCCGCCCCGGATATGTTTTAACTGGTTGCTCTCGGTTTCTTCTACCACAAATTTGAGATTTTATTGTTCTTTGTGGAGGGGGAATCAAACAGAATGTGGAGGTTGGCCAAGATGCTGAGCAATCAAAAGTTATGATCATCAGAACATCATGGAAGTCTATCACTGTTGGTTTCGGGGAAGATCAAGGACTAAAATGTAGTCATTTCGAAGAGTGATGCATTTCTAATAAAGCCATCAAGTCTTCAAGAAACAGCTACTCCGTCTACAAATACTCTACCAAAACAATAACGGAAAAAATTCCAGACCTAACGGAACATCTAACTGAACAAAGTCTTGGAAATGATTTTTTTTTCACAAAAAAGAAAACTTTGTCACCTTTCCGACACCTACCACGGAAGCCAAAGAAGCGAGAAATGTTTTGAAACAATCGAAAATTTGTACACATTTTTTGAAAGCGAATGAATCGTTTTACAGATTTCTCATAGTGGAAACAGAATCTCATGAATCTTGATAGTTCCCAGTATCAGAAATATGGGAAACCGAAAAAAAAATACACAAACGAACTACCATATTTTTTTGTATTCTTTATTTTTCGTATCTCGACGACTCCAGCCAGTTTCCATTGACTTCTAGCCAATTTTCCAATTTATTGTAAACATGCTATTGGAATTTCTTCCAAAATCTCTGTTAACTTGAAGTGACACTAATCTGAATTCGAACACACAGACACACTGACCAGTTGAACTATGATGATAAAAAGAGAGAAAAAGAGAACTTGAACTGAAATTGCGAACATGACGTTCTTGTTCTCTAGTCTGGAATAGATAGGGGGTTCGTAGGGGAAAAAACTGAAAATAGTTGACCCCAAAAGACTACAGTTGCAATGGGTAAACATCTCAAGAGGAAAAGCAGGGCAATGTGGGAGGACAAGTTGGGGTTCCGCCAGAGAACCAACTTGTGTTTGTTTGGAGGTTTGAGAATTTCGGAAAAAAAACTGTTTGAATGGTTTCAAAATCGGGAACTAATCCTTAACTTTTCATATAGGTAAAGTCTTGAGAATCATGGTTTTTTGGCAGTGCGTGATAAATACGACCGATTGATTAAATAAAAATGTACGGATGAAATATGAAAACAACGAATACTTTAATTTCACAGAGGGAGAGATGGAGATTCTGGACAAATTGAAGACACGATTCGGAAGCGTTGCGGTGGTGCTCACTTTGCTAATCGGATGTACACCGGATGGATGCTAAGTGGTTCTCCATCTGAAACATAATCCACAAGTTTCGCGATATGTGGTTGATATGTAGATCGTCTTATTTCCAGAATATCAGACTTGATGCAAAATCGGCCATGAGGATTTTTAAAGTTATAGGTATTGTGAAATCTGTAATGGAAAATCACCATCCTGCCGATTCAATTTTTTTCCTTTTTGTGTATAAAATTCCAAAAGTCATCAATTGACAAAACTTTAATCATAATATCAAAAAAGTTTTGTTAGTCATTTTTTACTGTTTACTTCTCACCAATGTGTCTTTTCGGAAAGAAACCCTTGAAAACTGTTTTTTTCGACAAAAATTCTTCGAAAAATGTGAGAAGCGGAGTTTTGAAGTGTCATTGCTAAAAATTTGTTCCTTGTGTGTTGTACGTTTTGTGATGGCCTAACTTTTGCACGTGGAGTTTTCTAGGCCAACATGGTAAATTTACTTAGAATTGGGCTAAAACTCACCTGGGGTTTTCTTGGTCATTTTGAAGTGGCGGCCTAAAAATTCAATTTGCAAAATTTCGGCCATCACTTTAAAACGACCTAGAAAACACACCAATTGAATATCAGTTCAATTCTATGTCAGTTTAACTTAATGGCCTGGAGAACCCGACTTGCAAAAGTTAAGCCATCGCGTTAAAATGATTTCGTTTCGAAGAACGCTCAAAAAATGCATGAGAAATTGCTCGTAAAATTTTTCGAAATTATTCGAGGAATTTCTCGAGGAATTTCTTGAAAAGTTTATCGAAAAATTTGTCGAAAGCGTTTCAAAAAATACACTGCTTCTTACGGGGCAGCCAAATCATTTAAAAAAATAAGATCAATCTGACATAATAATTAGTTTTTTTAAAAATTAGAAAAAAATTCAATGTTGTTCTCCAATTCTGAAACATGTCTTAGATTGAGCGGTACGGTTGGTTCCGAGCAACTTCCGGACAGCTTTTCTATTACAGGAGCCCGTCAATTAAAGGGAATACCGCCTATTTTTCTTTTTTTTCTCATCTCTTCATGCTGAAATCTTGCACAGAAATATTCGACAACTTCTCGTTCAAAATTTACGTAAATCCAACCAATATTAAGCACGTTTCTCAGCAAAAAAAAACGCGTTTCAACCAATTTTCTGGAATTTTTCAGACTGACGTACGGAAATTTTCAAATTCAAACAACAAATTTAAAAGAGAACCGTTCTGTTACAGGGTTCTTCTAGCCCCTCTCGATGGGCGTGTTATTTTTCAATTAATACAGAACTTTCTGTTCTTGAAATAAGTATGAAAAATTTGAAAATAATATTAAATTAAATTTTATTATTCAGCACCCTTTTAATAAGAAAACTGAGTATTTAGTATCGGTGTTTTCTTGATCTTTGTTTTCAAATCCGTTGCCTCAAAAGCAAACTTGAATTTTAGATGCGCTTCTGGAAATTTGTGTTCTCAGTAGTCTCCCTCCCGTTGATGTTTTCTATTTTCTGTTACACTAATACTACAGAAAAGTATATCAGGTTCGCATCCAGTCATTACGTACAAGTGTATTTGACACATTCACACCTCGTCTTCTTCTCTTCGGACTGCAATTTACATTATATCCCTTCAGAGTAGCTGTCGTTGATTCACATTCATCCGAGGGACCATCTTCAGGATGCATTTAGACACTTTGAGTGACATTTGAAGTTCTAAACTTCTATTTCTTTTTGACCTTGCTTCCGCGTTTCTCAAAGCTAATCATCAATCAGTCCTTTTCTTTTCGAATCGTGAATAATGAGAACTTTTGAAAAAAGGACTTGTCCAATTTCCATTTTAAAGATAGAAAAGCTCAAATAGTCATTTTTTAGAAGTCAATTTTTAACAAAAATGAATCAGATTTGAGAATCATGTAGTTGATGCAGAGTTTATTCAAACTCTGTGCATATTTGGTTTGCAACAAAGTTCAAGTTCCAACATTCTCTTCATTCAAAATTGATACTTTTCCGGAATGCCATTATTTCTTGAAATCAATTCCTATCTGGTTTTTTTGTTTTGTTCAGCGCTCTAAATTAATTCTACTTTTCTCTCCATTCTTCGGTAAGATCCCATTCTGTATTCCTGTTATCTTTCACACTCGGCCAACTCCCTTCATTTATAATAAAACATAACAAGGTTAGGAATGGCTCAGAGCTCTTTGTACTTTTGTTCCCATCTGAAATTAATGGTGACAGGAATAATAACTTGATTTTCAGCACATGTCTCGTATTTCCAGCGTCTTTTAGTCGGATGGCCAAAAACAGTCACTAGATGTTTTCAACACCTTCATTTTTGCTTCCCTAATGCTCGTTTTCGAGGCTTCAAAAGAAATTTGACTATCATTATCCATTCCCATCCTAATGAGAAAGGCGGCAGACACAGTAGAGGGGGAGGACATTACCCATCATCATACTCTCATTTTTCACCTTTCGTCTTGTTTTAGCCGTAATTTTCGGTGAGTAGTGTATACATTTTGATTACTGAATATTAATAGAAGGAGGACGTACGTGTGCAAAAGCTACTGCGATTTTTTTTGTGTTAGCTACTATGAGTTGTGCGTTGATTCGAA